TTGAACGATAATTTCAAAGGACATCTCAACCCTAGAAGCAAACCTATTTAAAAGTGGTAATTTGAAATTTAAATGTAATTTGTGTAGAAAATTTACTTTTTCTCTATCTAAATAATTATATAAATAGTAAAATAAAATAAATAAATAAATAGTACCTGTTATTTAATGAGTTGGTGTTATTTATGTCAACTTTGTTTACTTCTGATAAGGCTTCCCTTACAAAGATGAAGGTGATGTCATACTTAAGAATATGTAGTTATACTTTATAATGGATATATATCATCTAAAAGTTTATTTTCATTGAGAATTTACTTGAGGTTTCATGAATTTAGTTTATGCAGATAAAAAACGACAATTTGCCACTTTATTTTTATCATTATGATTTGTTGAACTGTTTGTCTCAAGTTACCATATTCTCAAGAGAAAGAGAGAGAGGCCACAGATGGTGCAAGAGAGAGATGCCACAGATGGTGCTTTGTCCAGCCGAAGCTGCTTTGTTACTCTTTACTTTGGTATCCAAACCAAAATCTAAGGCTAACTCTAAAGCAAAGATGAAACACTTGATCGACACACAGTCACAAACTTGCTCACACGTTTTATATATAAATGAATAGTAATATAGGTGGAATCCTAGCCATCAGATCTTCATCGAGTGGTTAGAAATACATATCACAATTTTACTTTTAATTTTTTTATAAATCTAATTAAGATGAAATTTTGGATGTACATACGTAACACTATTTGCACCATATAAAAATATAAAAAAAAATATTTTCAAAAATTTCAAATGACTAAATTAAGCCTGTCATTTTTCAAGGGTATATTTTGGAAAATATTTTTTATATATTTTTTAATTGTACGCTCTATTTTTTAGTACACAATATGATCCAATTTCGAGAAAAAATATTAAAATTTATATAGTAATATGCATTTTGAACTATATCATGAAATTCTGATGGCTTCCATTAGGAAATATTGAAAACCTCTGATTGATTTTTTGCTCTTTTGGGAGTGTATTTTCATCCAATATAAAATGGCTAGTCATAGAAGCAATGTAAATCATTTCCTTATGGGAGAAAAGAGATATCGAGTGAAGATAAGCTTTGGGAAAAGAGTCATTGGGGGTTTTGCTCATCCATTAGCAAACCCTAACTATAATTATGCCCTTGTAAACTAGATTTATTATTGTTTCTTTGGGGTGACATAATTAGTTGACGGTATCAAAATAATAAATCAGTTGATGGTATTATGGTAAGAAAAATGGATTTGATATTTCTTTTTTGGGGGAGTCTCGGTTGGCCAGCTGGTTGACAGCTACAGTAATCTCCCAATGACCCAAATTGAATATTGGCTTATTCAATGGTTATAATTGTATTTCATATTTTAATTTTAATTTTTTGCTACAAAGTCAAATCACTGAAATTTGGAGAGTCTATTTTTAAAAAATAGACGAATCTAATAAAAATATCAAAAAACTAATTCCCAAAAAGTAAATAGATCAAACTACATCTAAAATTTTAGGGGTATTTTGATCAATTTATTTTTTACAAATAAGTTTTTAATATTTCTATTAGGTATGCCTTGATGAGAAAAATAGATGTCTCAAATTTCATGTGATTTGGATTTGTAGAAAAAAATTAAAATTTAAATATGAAATGCACTCGTGACTGTCAGATTGGGTCAGATTCAATTTGAGTTGTTGGGCTTACCCTATTCCATCAACCGATGGGCTGACAGGATCTTTTCCCTTCTTTGCCAATGTGAAGTAATCTCTATAAATCTAACAACAAATGATGAAAATAATAAAAATTGATTGATTTTATCAAAAAATGCCAAAAAGGAAAGAAAACAATTTTTCAAATTACAGTAATTTCGTGGAGAACTAGGGTAAACAAAACCATGTTTTGGATCATAACATAGTTATGCAAACCCTAGTTATGCCAAAACCTGGTTATTGAGAAATTACTGTTTGGATAGCTTGTAGATAATACCCAGGTTATGCAAAATCCCTCATTTGGGTATAATACCCAGATTATGCAAAATGCCTCATTTGGGTATAATACCCAGATTATGCAAAATCCCTCATTTGGGTCATCTATTTGCATAAATTAGGTTTAGCTAAGATTGCCCCAATCACAATGCCACGTCTTTATACTATTTCTTTTTCTATAAACTATTTTCATACCAAATTTTAGATGTCCATTCCTCTATTAAACTCGCACTAGCAAAAAATATAAAAAAAAAATTTCAATAAAATAAAACGACCAAAATACCCCTGAAAGTTTCAAGGGTTATTTTGGTCATTATATTTTATCAAAAAATTATTTTTAATATTTTTTATAGTGCGCCCCAATGAGAAGATGGACGTACCAAATTTCATATTCATACAATTTGTATAAAAAAAACTAAAAATAAAATACTTTGAGATGTCGGATCTAAGATCAAACGGTGGGTGGCTCTCTTGATCAAAATTGGACGGCTGGATGGTAGGGGGAGGATAGAACTTCTATGCAGTAGGGGAAGCATAGAAACCTTTCCATATACTATTTAGGACATATTTGGTAGGTACGAAATATTTTCGTACAAAATATTTTCATGTGAAAATTACGTTACAAATACTTGGTTTGCAACAATACATATAAAAAAAATTTCCCAGTATAAAAAATTTTACCAAAATTTAGAGAGATAAACTATACCTAATTTTAGAGCGAGAAACTACCTAAAAATTTTTATAGAGAGAAACTATCTCAACAATTTTAGAGAGAAAATTGTCTAAAACTTTAAATTTGATATAGTTTCTCTCCAAATATTTTGAGATAGTTTATCACCCTAAAAGTTTGAAATTTTATATAGTTGAAAATTTCTCTTTCTAAAAATTTTGAGATGGTTTCTCTCTCAAAATTGTTTTTGGTAGTTTCTCTCTCTAAAATTTGATATAGTTCATGTCACTAAATTTTAAAATACTTTCCCTTTCTAAAACTTAAAATTTGAGAAAGTTTCTTTAAAACTTTAAGATAGTTTCTCTCTCTAAAGTTTTTTAAGTATTTCTCTCTCCAAAACTTGATATAGTTTCACTCTCTAAAGTTTTAAGATACTTTCTCTCTAAAACATGAAATTTGATATAATTTCTTTCTTTAAAATTTTTGACATAGTTCTCTTTCTAAAACGTTTTTGGTTGT